CCGCCTCGGCCGAGCCCAGGCGGACCGGCGAAACACCGGCCGGGGCAGAGGCCGCGTGCGGCCGGCTGCCGGCCGGTGGTCTCCCGCAGAGGCCGGCAGAGCTGTTTGGCTTCGGTCGTCATTCGTGCATTTCCGGCACTGTCTCACTCCAATTCCCGATCCCGTGCGGCCAGCGAGGAGGCCGCTCAGCCTGGCGCGGTCGGTCTGAATGGGCGTTTTTTGAGAGCTCTGCCTCCAGCCTCCATTCCGCAAGAACAGCAAAGATTTTCGTTGCTCGGAGTGGGGATTGATGTGCCAGCATGACCTGAAATACTGAAAACAGAGAATTGAGAAACCCTTGGTCTTGGCAGTGAAGTATACGCCGAGAGAAGAGAGAACGTTACGGGTCCTTTACCCGGCAGTGACATAACGGTACGCCAAGACCGCGAAGTTACCGCGCCGTTTGACCGGAGTCCGTGCATCGCTAACAGTCATGTCTTTGTCCGTAAGGCAAAAATTCGCCTCGTTTAAGGACTTTGTAAGTCATAGAGATGACGGAAATAATCGCCGATGGGTAGTGGAAAGATCAACTTCAGTGGCATACGCCAACGCTGCCGGCGACGATAACTTGTATTCGCCGCTGCTTAGGTTCACGCACGTGAAGTTCCAGTGTATACTTGGGAGACAGTGCCATCCCTCCATACATACTGTTGAACCGTAAGTAAATTTTATCAGTAAATCTCTGTCCAGTATATTAACAATCAAATAAGGATGATGGATAAAATTCAAGATTTTTGTAAGGAGCAAAAAACTGTCTTTTATCTGCCGTTTTTGATGTGTTGTTTGGTTGCCTGATCGAAAAAAATGTTTGCAGGCATGTTTCGGATGTCAAGTGGCCACTTTTGCCGGATAACTTACCGGTTTTCGATCAGAGAAAAATTTGTCCTTTCGGCTCACCCTAGTGCCCTGAGTGGGACGGATTCGTCATAAAAGGGTTCAATGTAAACAAAAATGAAACTGATCACTTTACATCAAAATTTGTTGGCTGAGCGAAGCCTGTTCCTCCAGTGGGGTTGAAAAGTTTTTCCTGTCGGTCTGTCTGTGTTTGTCCGCACTCCTCTTAAACGGCTCGGCATATTCAGCTGATTCTCGCTCAAACTAACATCGCCCTTATCACTTGTAAACGAACGTGACGTCACGTTCATTGGCTACCAGTGTAAATGTGCTGTTTTGGAGGAATATTTGTCTTCTTTCTTTAATCCATCACTTCAGCTGACTGTAACGGACTGTGTTGTGACTTTGAATTGCTGGATCGGAGAGCTTCGTTTTCCTGTCCCTCATAAGGGACCGTCCATAAAATACGTAACGCACTTAAGGGGGGGGGGTCAGAGCTTCCGTTACGGTGCGTTCATGGGGGGGGGGGGCGGGGGGGTTTGACCCGGCGTGATGTAACGCAAATCGACCCATACACGCCTACACTTAAAAGCGTGAAATTGTGGTTTCCTCGTACGTTTTGACAGTTTCTGCGTGCTTTTAACCTTTTAGCAATTCGTCACGTAACGCACCGGGGGAGGGGTCCAAGGCAGCGTTACGCTTCGTTTCATAGGGGGGCGGGGGGTCAAAAATTGCCTCAAAAAGCGTTACGTATTTTATGGACGGCCCCTAAGAGCTCAGACCTCACCTTTGTGTTTTAGTCTTAGTGCGAGCTCCATCGTGCCTGAAGATTATTTTCTTTACACTGCAGATGCAAAGGCGATACTGAAGTACACTTTTCGGCGATACAATTGAGTATTGCCAATAATCAGCCTTACGGAAAAGTATTGCCTTCAGAACGGCGATACATAGAAGTATCGCGAAAATTTGGCGATACTTTTTGGTATTGCCAAAATCACGGCATTAAACAAAGAACTTGTCCCCTTGATTTGTTCAACGTTTATTGCCACATTGTGGTAACACTCCGGGGTATCGCCATATGTTGGCGATACATTTGTGTATTGCCGTTATGAAGGCAATACTTTTCTGTAAGGCCGTTTATTGGCAATACTGAATTGTATCGCCAAAAAAAGTACCAAAAGTATTGCCATTGGATTTACAGTGTAAGTATTCTCGCAGTACACAAGTGAAATCATCTGTTCCTTGGTGCAAAGCTTTTCACATCACTTTTCGCGAATGCACCGAAGACATGCGTCTCAGTGAATCATTTTGCCGACGAAAGAAGAAGAATTATTTGCGAATTTGTCCTGTCCACACCAAAGACAGCTGTGCCGCCTTTTTGGACATGCACGGAATTTTTCTTTTTCAATCTTCACTCTACACGTGTCAGGATTTTTGAATTCTGCCGCTGAAATCAAGTCCATGGCTAACAGAGCATACAATATATGGCGTACACTCCGCAGTCATTCAAGTCCGATGATCTCAGCCCGGCCTTGGAGGGCAGGAGGGAGGAAGGCCCAATGTCTTGTTCCGTATGCGCTTTGAAAAAGTAGATTTGTGAAAGATATTAGCATCCGCCCTCCCGCTGGTACCAGCCTCAACGATCAAAAATTTGTGCTTTGCATCACTGACGGCCATAAGTGTCATGTAGTGAAACTTCTTGTAGCCAAACCAACGAGAGCCACAGTGAGGAAAAGCCTGTAACAATGATAATGGGACAATATTAGAACCAAGGCATGATAGACTTCATAATATAGTGAGTGTGGTACATTCTTACCTTTACCTGGACCTACTTTCCGTCAACACCCCCTAATCAGTGGGGGATATTCCACCAAATTTCAAACTCAGCGGCAGTTTTGATCCATGTGTTCTCACTCATTTCTGGTAAAACCTCATCTTTCAGGACATGCCATATAGCTGCGGTAGTTTCCAAGACTATCTTCGAGATTGCCTGGCTTGACACTCTGAAGAGAGATGATAGCGAAGTCTGGGAATCACCAGAAGCAAGATATCTGCAAGTAATAAGGCAAATCACATAAAGGTGCAACAGGTTAATAAATTTGATCACAAAAATAAGTACCTGAGAGTGATTGCTAGCCTCTCACCTGGCTCTATAGCCTTTCTCCATGAAGACTTGTCAAGAAATGGTCCCACTTTCTCCAGTAGCTTATCAAATGCAGAGGGAGTCATCCTCATGAAATTTTAGAAAAGATCTTCATCCAATTCTCTCAACTGAGGAATGAGGGTATTCCAGGCGCCATACTTGTCATGATCTCTGAAGATGGGGCGCTGCCACCATATTCGGTCTTTCCTTCCACGAATTCTGTGTTGCTGCGGATTACACTTGTGAGTCAGGACAGCTCCATAGAGGAAAAGCGTGAGTTTTCTGCAGCGTACTGAAAACACAATGAATTTAGAGTAACAGTCGGCTAGTAAAAATGTCATTCACAGTCCATCAAAATTTGATGCGCTCAAAATTTTATTTGAGGTAAAACACAACCAAACATACCACAATGACGCCCTAAACGCTTTCTCTTCTGCATGAGGGCTAGAAGGGTGAGGTAAGTCTTCCTCTTAAAGCAGCACTGCAGCATCCTGGAAAAGCAAGAAGGTTATAGAAAGTGCCACGAAATCAGAAATTTCGAGGTAAGGTGTCAACAAAAACGTCGTTCAAACGCAACTTACAAACTACAAAAAAAAACCAACCTGTTGCTTTTCTCGACCCAAGCTGAACTTTAGGCTTCCAAATTCAAATTTATAATCCAACCAACAATGCGCGCTGCGATGTTGACCCTTTCTCGAACTGTGATTGGTCGACGCCTTCTGGAACTACATGCAGATCGCTCCGCCGACTGTCTTGGCCGGTATCCCCTTTTTTATTGTTGAATGCATGCAACGCCAGTCGAGGAGATAAAATTTAAACATGTTTTTTGTCAAATTCGTTTCAGATGGGTGGTGAAAACCAGCACGCCCGGAATATAGCAACATCAAGGCGGACTATTTCTTGCCGCGTCTGCGCACTGCTGCCCGGGCATCGCTCATGTGACACTAGGGAGAGTTGCTGCGATTCCGGCTTATTTATGGTTAAATTAAGGATTATAAGGTCAGACATTGCGGGAAAATTTACTTTTTTTTGGCTCCCAGCAGTATTTTATGTCGATTGAAACACTTCCGCCCCCCCCCCCCTCCCTAGTCACACACATAGAATTACGAGACAAGAATGAGCGAATGAGTGGGCTCAGCGAGCCGAATGAGCGATGAGCAATGAGCAGCATTGTGGGAGCACCTTAAAGTTGGTGACTCCATCTCCCAAAATTAAACCTAAATTTTTTTAAATCTCATCAAAATGACTATCAGAGAAGCTTCTACACTACCTAAGCTCTGTTGAAAATCAAAGGGGCACTCGGCAAGTCAATACAAGAAGAACTGCTCCCCTGTATAACTTTCATATCTCTTGTGTCTTTGCCAGACATAAGAAGGTTATGTTGTCCATATTTCATTTCTCAAATATAGATAAATTCAAAAGTGTCACTCCACTAAATCATAACGAGAGGCTCATTCCCTTCATATTCTTGCTGAGAGTCTATCACTCTCACTCAAAACAAGTTGCAGGGAAACCGAAGTGCTTAGGGCAACCTGTGCAGTTCTAGAGGGAGAGGGCCAAATCCCCCCCCCCAAGGCTCGCGGCACTTGCGAAGAAGGTGCTGCCCATCTCAGCCACAAGTGCTCCATCTGACAGAGTTTTTAACGTGGCTGGACTAATAGTAGTGGAAAACAGGGGCGCAATATCGCCTCATACTCTCAACAAGGAAATATTCGTTCATTACAAATACGACGGCGTGCATGATGCCGCAACAACTAATAATGCAAATTTCATTGTGTAGAGACCAAAAACTTGCAAAGCTTGCTAGTCTTTGATGTTATATGTACATTTTTATGTTTTATGCATATGTTTTTGTTATATGTATAAATGTTTCCATAAATTTTTTTAAAATAAATGATTTAACCCCATGGTAAATTGGACTGAAATTGATTTCACGCCGATTACGCCGCCGCCCCCGGCCAAGCATTGACAAAGTGCCGCCGCCGTTAAGATTGGCATCGGCGCTCAGGTCTGCCTACTCACCCAAGGCGATGTCCAGAAATGTCGACTCAGCTGCGTTGTCTCCATAGAAGCTTCTTTGCTCGCTATCTCTTAGGTGTTGCTGCCATCTAGGCCCTTCGCTGCCGAAGACTTCGTCAGTTTCCTCGTCCGTCCGCCCATACTCAGTTACGTGACTCGTTAGACAGATTGAGCAAGCATTTTGGTGAAATTTTATTAAAGAAGCTCCACTGCGTAACAAGTGATACTCTACCCTTGAGGCAATAATTTTCAATTTCCAAACGGAACTTGCTCTTTTGGATACATTATCATCAAACAAGCAGTAAAACCTGTTTGTTGCCCTTGCGATATTAATAAATCACTGAAAAGAATAACAGATCGATGTGTAATAATTTGAAGTGAACCAGATCTGTAGAGCTTTGCATACTTGAGAGAGATCGCAGGTTTGCCTCCGTAGAATTATCAAGATACGAGTTCGATTAAAATTTCATTCATTAGCAACGTTTCCTCCCCTACGAAACAGCTGGTGTCTTCCTGTCTAAAACAACTGCTATCAAATACATATGAAAACGTCCGTTACCAGAACTCCTTTTTTACCAGTTCAAGTACAGTTGAGAGTACATAAACTCCATCTTAACTGCAGTGAAACTGAGTTTTGACTTTGGTCAATGTATACGTCAAACTCCAAACAAAAAATCACATTTATGAACACTTTTTTAAAAAAAGTTTCTCCTTGGCTTTCCGCATTGCTGCAAACGACAGTGTAACCTCAGTTCCTCGGTGCTCTTTTACTGCTGTGCTGATTCTCCCGCGCGGGTGAAGCATGGTGCGCAACGGGTCAAGGTCACCTATTTATTTTGCCTCTTTTTCGGTCATTGTCTGAATTTCCTCCTTCTCCACCCTCTCAACTAGGCCTTCCCCTTGACGTAACGAAATTCAACCGTGAAGAGTATACAGCCAATCAGATCAGCGTTTTCATTGTACACCTGAAACTCTGCAGGCCAGATGTGTCTATGCATGTCAGGAAAAAGGCCTTTAAGGTTGTCGACGTCCAAGGTTGCATTACGCACGAAGTAGTGCCCCTAAAACACGTACAGAAAATACCTTGTCAGAACACGTCGTCAATGAATTTTTCGGTAAATTTTTCAAGACTCTTATTTTGTGGATCCTGAACCGGACGACAACAGGAGCAATGTTGACGTTGACGGAAGAAGACCTTATTCTGATATGGTTAAAAGGAATAGTAAGATGCAACGGGATCGTTAAAAACCTATTTGCAATGATTTTAAGATCCTAGGTTTCAATTCAATTATACTGCTTGGTCCCACTTATGGCGTCTATTGAATTACGTTCCACGATCAACGAAAGTAATCCATTAAGAAATAGGACCCTCCGCGCACCAAAAAGATTACTTTGTAGGTTTTAGAGCAAGTTATGTTCTCAAAATTGAGCAAACGTCAAAAGCTTGCTTGACTTTGTGCACGACAAGGTGCACGACTTTGTGAGGAAAAGGGGGGGGGGGGAAATAAGTGACTTTGTGGAATAGCCTTACCCGGAAAAATATATACTCATTTTCTAGGAATGACTGTCGCTGTCCATGCATGCGACATGAGAGTTCTTTATGACGCGAGCGAAGCGGGCTGACAGCCAACGCCTCATTGAGCCGCAGATGTGATTATGTTCGGGTTCCATGAGTACATTTTATCAAGGACAGTTGGCTCTTTTAAGGGTCATTCTTTGTCAGATCACCACAAGCCCCAAACTTGAGGGTCTCAGATTGGTCTGGAAACCCCTAAAACTCATTACGGGCGTTCCCCTGACCCACTCTGCCAAAGGATTAGACTGGGAAAAATTTTGCCTTATTTTTATGGGATTTCTTATTTTTAAGTTTCCGCAAAATTCTGAGTTTTTTTTCAAAAATTTCCCCAGGGTGAACTTTTGGTTGTATTCACTCCCCGCAAAGTTTTTTGTGATCGACTAGTGATACAGAAAAAGGAAAAACGTTGCCGGCAGGTGGTCATGAAAAATACCCAAAAATTATTATGAAAAACTTCTAAAAGTTAGTGAAAAATTGAGTTTGCCAAAATACATCGTATGAGTATGGTGATGATATTTGGTGAAAAAGTACCTCTTCACTAGTCGATCAACCCTGAAAAGGTCCCATGTCTGGCCCGGAGCTCCTTACCCTGATCGGGGCTTGAAATATATTTCTAATGGCTCGTAAAGTTCATAGAATGGTATCGTAACCAGCCATATCACTCAGAAAGCCGTTTCCAGAGTGCAGTATGAATCACTTTCACTTCAAAATGATGTCTTGGTATCAAGGCAACAGTATTTGGGGTGAGGCTTGCCAATAAGTGCTAATCACAAAGAAAGAACACAAAAAGAGCATAGCATAAAGATGTGGCACTTGACAGGCTTACTGTGGTTCATCAAGAACTTTGAAATAACCACATAAGCCACCACTACTAACCTACAGAATGGCTTGGAATACAACCCCTTAGTTAACCTATCTTTTTCAGCACTGTCAAGTGTACATGGTTGAGTGTCCATGATACTGAGAAGCTTTAATCCCTAATATTTGAAACATTTGTCTTTAGCTTTTCTTTCTCTTTTCACAACAACGTCCCTTTCCTTGGTAAACAAACATTTTTAGCAGACGACAGCCACCAGCCAATCAGAAAACCCGTTTCTGATGATTGACTCTTGCTTTTGTGACAAGGCTGTGAGGGGGAATGCCACAAGTAGCCACAAGTTGGTGTTGTTTACACTTCTTCCATGCTGCTTTGCAATTGCCCAGGAACCATTGTATTACCACAAAGACTTTCTTCTCCTTCTCCCTAAAAGGTGAGGCTCATTTTGAACTTCGGTGTTCAATTTTTTATAGAAACAACCAAACTTATTTGTTTACATTTTTTTTAGCCTTTTGGAGGTTATAACCTCTCTGAGGTTTGTTTTGTCATAGACAATGCTTTGAAGTTCCCTTCTTAAACAGAGGATCACCTGTCAATCAAAGATTTGAGTTGAATTGAGTTCTTGAACCCAAACTAGTGTATGCGTTAACTGATTTACAAGTACATGCTGAAACCAATGCTATTTGTTACGTTTGAATACCGTTCAATGCACTTATTAGCAAGCCTCACCCCAAATACTGTTGCCTTGATACCAAGACATCATTTTGAAGTGAAAGTGATTCATACTGCACTCTGGAAACGGCTTTCTGAATGATACGGCTGGTTACGATACCATTCTATGAACTTTACGAGCCATTAGCCCCCCCCCCCCCCCGGGGGGAGGAACGCCCCTGAAGGAAATAGCATATAACAATGAGCTGTGGGGTTTCGTCTCAAAGAAAGAAGGTAGCACCGATAAGGTACGTACTTTCATAGGGCAGCTGAAAGGTGGTTCGAACGCGTCATAAAAGGGGCTCCACAGCATTCCTCTTGCAGGGATGAGGTGACACAGGCCTGTGGTCCAGACCCAGCGTAGGTAGTACTCACAAAGATTCGTCGCCTTACCGCCGGTACATTTTGTAAGATGGACGAGCAACTGAACGAAAAAAAAAACAACAAAAAGTCAATTCTCTCAAACAGCGACGCACCTGGTCTCAGCACCGTTTACAGAGGGTTTTAACTCCTTTAATGATCTTATGGTGACATTTTATAAGTACGCTTTTTTTTAGAGTCTGCTCTGAAAATCTATCGGCGTGACTTCGTGCCCCTTTACGGGCGTGAATAAAGTTTCACGCGGAGTAACAGAAAAGTCATGCAAAAAATCGGCGAGACTAAAGAATTCACGCCTATTTATGATGTGAATTTCTTGACATGGCGCTTTTTGACATGACTTTTCTCATGAAACGTATTGACATTCACTCCAAATGATGGCGTGACCCACATATCATGCCTTTTTTCTGCGTGAATTTCGTGGCACGCCAATTTTTGGCGTGACATTTTGTCACGCTATTATTTGGCAATGTGTCCGACCATTACTTTTTCAGTGTCTGATAGACCGAACTCTTTCCCTCTCAAACATAAACAGAAGATTTTTGGCCTGTGATCCGTTAAGCAGTTATGGGTACTATAAAAATACTTAACGACCTTTTCGTGATCCCGACAACCTATTTGCAACATAGTAAAAGCCTTTTTCTGAAAAAAAAAAAAAGAACCTGCCCGCAGTGAAATTTAGTATGCTTTTTCAGTTATTTTGGAATCTCTTTAATTCCCTAACGTATCACGACAACCGAAATAGCTTTATTTCAATGTTTGAAACCAATAGAAGTCTCTTTGATATCTCTAAGGACCTTTCATGTCCAAAGCGCTCATGAAGATCGTCATAGAGGTCCAAAATCGAGCAACTTGTGTGGAAGAGTCGGATTAAGATTTGGATGAGAATCATCTTATCACCCTATTTTGGATGATAGGCCTACTATCTGGCTGTGCAGGTAGCCGATACACCCTTTACCGCCCAGATTTGTGTGAGGAAACCTTCCTCGGTGATAAAGTACACCTTGGCCAAATTTGGGTATTGATCTGGACTGATCCTTTATTCTCATTGAGGTTAAAACCCTCCGAAAAATGTGCTTAGACGATACTTCCCCCACTCTACAAAAAATGTCCTGGCAACGCCGTTAATTTATCACCAATGTTTTCTGTTATGCAATTCATGGCGTTTTCTGTGAACTAGTTCACGGCGTTCACTGTGATCTTGGTCACAGTGTTCACTGTGGTCTGGCCACAGTAAACGCCGTGAATTGGAGCCTGATTTGCAGTACTTCGGTGCTCAGCGGCGTCAAACTCACAGTGTTTACTGTGAACCAGATCACAGTGAACACCGCGAACAAGATCACAGTGAATCGCGTGGGCAGATCACAGTAAACGCTGTGAATTGACCTTTAGTGAAAACTGGTAATAAATTAACGGCATTGGCACGAGGGGGTAAACACTTCAAGAAATCGTGTACAGACTACTCGGTATTACGCTGTATTACGGAGGTATTACACGTGTATTACGGCCTTAAAATGCAAAAATTTGGCACATTTGACCCGAAAAAGGTATTACGACCACGTGTATTACGCGTAATACACGGTTTTTGTGTACAGGGTATTACGCGAGTGGTTACCCCCTCGCATTGGCAGGACATCTTTAAGGAAACGATGGTGGCTTTTAGACCTTGGACACACTCTTCATTTCCTTTGTGAGCAAGACGGCCGAGTTGACATAATGGGCTCCTCTCTCGTCCATGGTGATGGTCAGGTTTTGGATTTCGGTATAATGAGGTTTGTCTGAGCAAACCCCGACGTCGTAGTAGACTGGGACCAGCTTTTTGACCTGCGTGAACCGAGACGCCCTGTTACGGGGGCAGTGGCAGCATCTTGTGCAGTGAAACAAAACAAAGTGGAACAAAAAGCCGTATAATCCTATCAATGTAAAAAAAAAAATCGTTCTCCAGCTCCAGTGAGTGGACTCGAAGAGGTAAACACTTGTGTGATACCCTATACACAAAAATCCTGTAATACGTGTATGGCACGATTAAGGCACTGAGAATCCAAACGCTATGAATATAGCGTCAATTCACTGAAAAAAGGCAGACCGAGTCAAGTCGAGGGGGTAAACACACCAAGAAATCGTGTACAGAGTACTCGGTATTACCCTGTATTACAGCATCAAAATGCCAAGATTTGGCACAATGGGCCTGGGCCCCAAATTGGTATTACAAATACTCTACAAACTCAAGTGTGTACAAAGTACACTCCACCTGGAGTGTACATGCATGTACACTTCAACCTGGAGTGTACTTAATATGTACACGACAACCTGAAGTGTACTTGCCAAGTACACTCCAGGTTGGCTTGTACTTGCCAAGTACACGCCAGGTGGCGCATACCTCCAGGTACACTGTTGCTGGCCCCCTGCTGCAAGTACACGCCAACCTGGAGTGTACATGCCAAGTACACTCCAGGTTGAAGTGTACATGCCAAGTACACTCCAGGTTGAAGTGTACATGCATGTACACTCCAGGTGGAGTGTACTATGTACACACTTGAGTTTGTAGAGTACGTGTATGACACGTATTTTACGATTTTAGTGCGCAGTGCGCGAGTAACCCCTTCGAGTCCACTCACTGTAGCTGGAGCACGACTCTCGGCGACCACTAAGGCAGCAATGAAGACGACCAGGGAGGCAAGCTGCGACGCGGCGGATGTTCTTCCCGGCGGCATGTCTGGAACCAACGTGGCAGGTTGTGAACGGCACTGATACACTGAGCGGAAAAAACCACAGTGTATCTCGTTATTTTTTTTTTGCCGGGACTTCCTGTAGTTCAGAATACAGGATCTACTGTGCCTGGCTACAGTATTTACTGTACCTGGTACAGGATATTCAGTACTCCACTCCTGCTATACAGTAAATCCCGCACAAAGTACAGTAGACTCTGTAAAAGAGGTCAGTAAATCCTGCACTCTGAACTACAGTGCCAGCTGTACTAATCACTACAGGATTAACTGTGTTTTTTTCCCACAGTGTAAAGGTTGGCCGAGACATCTCGTCACTTCCCCACGTCTCAACTCGACCCATCAATTGTTTTGTGCTGACCGACAAAGATCGTTACGACCTTTCCGGGGTGCTGCTCTGCAAACTCAACAGTGTGCTCATGCACTCTATTCGGCGTGCACTCACAAGTGAACTCCTGGGAGAGTGTGCTCATCTGAGAACCCTCTAACGAGAGTGTGCTCATCTGAGAACCCTCTAACGAGAGTGTGCTTGGCTGAGAACCCTCTAACGAGTTTGCTTGGCTGAGAACCCTCTAACGAGTGTGCTTGGCTGAGAATAATCAAACGAGATCAACCTGAGTACAGTCCAGTGAGAGTGTACTTACCAAGGTACACTCCAACGAAAGTGTGCCCACATCAGTACACACCTTAGTTCCCCATGGAAATGTGTGCAGCTGAGTTCACCTTCGTGCGGGAGTAAAATCGTGAGTACTCTGCAAACTGAAATGTGTACATGGCACGCTCTATTTGGAGCATGCCAAGAAGCACGCTTAAAATTGGAGCGTGCTTGGCAGGCACGCTTTAAATTGGAGTGTGCTTACCAGGCACGCTCTAAATTAAAGCGTGCCTGCCAGGCAAGCTCTATTTTAAAGAGCGCTTAGCAAGCTCACTCTAAACTACAGCATGGACGGCAACCACACTCCTGAATGCTCGTAATGGCTTTTATTTTTTAATTATTTAATAAATATGTACTAATGCAAGGTTTTCATTTTATACTTCAGAGAAGCAACATTTCAAGTCTTGTTGGCTGAGCGATAGCGAAGCCCGTTACTCCAGTGCGGTTGAAAAGTTTTGTCTGTCTGTGTGTCCGTGTGTGTGTGTGTGTACACTACTCCTCCTGAACGGCTCGGCCGATCTGGCTGAGATTTTGCAGGCTTATTAGGTATGTTCTTGGCTCGGCACACGCGAAATTTCACTATCCTAGCTCAACTGGTTCATTTTTTTATAGCCGAAAAACACCTATAAACGGCGAAAAATCGAGTTTTTTGCAGGTAGATCACCTCTGTCTCCAAGAAAGGGGGGTCTGGGGCGGAGCCTCGACCTTCACCCAGCAGCAACAGGGCTAGGTGACTTTGCTATGGATTGTTGGGCAGTCAATACAGTGAGTAACTAATGTCATGTCGAAACTGTATGTGTATTTCTGGATGAGAAATGTTTAAGTTGTTTCCTCCATGGTTATTGAAAGAAACCACCCAGGTGTAACACGTTGTACCAGTGCCATTTTATACCTCAATAGTTGTGAAAATAGCGGAGAAGCTTTCACTCTAAAAAAAGTTATGAAATTTCATATCCAAATAGGTCTTACATTTCATAATCACGTTCTAAACCTCAATTTTCATAACATTCTTATAAAATTTTAAAATCCTGTAATGAATTTTAAAATTTGGGTTATAGATTTTAAGAATAACGGTTATAAATTTTTAGAATGGGTTTTCTTATAACTCCGGTTCTTAAAAACTAGATTTTCACTTTGAAAATTTATAACGCTTGCTGATTTTAGAGAAAGGATCTGAAATTTTTAATCGTTTGCGTTCTGCTGCCAAGTCCCTTCTGTGTTTATGGACACTGTGAAGTGAAAAAAGCTGAAACAGAACTTTTTCACAGGAAGTTCTTTTTGTGGTCAAAATCCAACCTCTGTTTGATGAATTTACTCTCAAAGTTGGGGGTCCAAATCTCATTAGATTCTGAGTTATGGAGGTTTACGAAACTTTGAGTCGTTTCCCTCAAAATTTCTCTCACGACAAAGGAAAAAATATGCAAACCTCGATTCTAGCATTGAAGGTATAAGAAAAAGAAAGATTTTGGGACATTTGAATATATCAATCCAGAAGAGGCTGTAAAAGGTATTTGACTAGGCCCATTTTCATTATCCTTGAAATTTGAGTTTTCCTTATTTTTGTTTTGTTTTCGGGTTTTTCAGTAAAACTAAGAGAGAGATTAAAAAAAGGCCAACACCATCTATTTTAATTGCAAAAAAAATATAATTGCCAGAATCTGAAGGATGGGTAGCTTTTACTTTGTCGTGAGAAGAAGAGAGGAACACTACAAATTAACGTAAACATCCATAAGTCAGAAACTATTAAGAGGTGGGGCCTATTCTCAGTGTAGAGTTTTTGCAATAGTAAGGAACTTTTACCCCAAATTGAGAAATCTGACACAAATATTTTTAAAATGTTACTTAGTCACTTTTTTCACTGTACAATAACCCTAAATCAGTTGGTAAAATTCTCTTTTTCGGCAAGTGTTTACATTTTCCTAACCGATTAGATAGGAATCCTGATGGGCACAGCTACAAATCGAAAAACTTTTATTGTATGCACAAATTGAAGCATGCCCGCCAAGCATGCACTTACTAGTGCATACATGCCATGTACCCGCTTACTACATCTAGTGCGTAAGTGGCAGGGAGTTGTCTGCTTCAGTTAGCTCTTACATGTCATGTATGCAGTGATAAGTGCATGCTTGGCGGGTATGCGCTAACCAGAGCGTGCTTGCAGGCATGCTTCAGTTAGTTCAAACAGTGTATACGCCGGGCCGTGTCGGGCCGAGCCGAGCCGCCCCGTCGGTGGCCAGCCGAGCCGGGCACGGTGAGCCGAGCCGGCGCCCCGGGGGCTGCTTTCCCGGAAAATCACCGCTCGCCGGGCCCGGGCCGGGCCGAGGCTACCTGCACCCGGGCCCAAGGGTCGCGAAATCCCTCGGCCACTCCGGATTACTGAGAGGCTACGTCATTTTTAGTGTGTCGGGGTCTCCAGAGCTGTGCACATCGCGTCCGGGTCCGAGAGCTACGTAGTCAGTCGCGCCATCGATTTAGTTTCGCTGGACCGTTTAGTGTTATTTCGGCGCAGTGCGTATGGTGCAGTTGAAGTGTTGCCCGTGGTGCCCAACAGTCACCACCCTGTTTCAAGAGTTTGAAGCTAGATTGGCGATCTCCGGAAAAATGATTTGTTTTCGTTACAAGCGGCGTAACTGAATGCTGTTACTCCATCTTTTTAACTGCAGGGACGGACGATGAACGTGTGGGTGGCGTATTATTTCAATTCGCTTCTCCTCTTTCATCTTTGTTCCCAAAATATTTTCTTTTTGTCGATCGAGTTTCCCCAAAGTGTTCATCTGGATCTAAAACGCTGCTGCGCTGTTTACCACGTCGACTGAAGTTTTTCTGAAGTTGTGATGTTTTTTGTGCGTGCTCTCGGATAAAAATGAAAAATCCGCTTTAGTAGCGCGAATTGGTGCGCTACGATGCATAAGTGCTGCAAGATATTTTGTGTGAAAAGAAATGAAACCTGTCTGAGAATTCAGTATTTGTAACATAAAAGTTTAGAACGGGAAAGAGATTTCACGACACATAGGTTGTAAAAAGTAATAAAAATGTTATGATGTTTTTATAGTATTGGTGTGGAGATTAAGAACCGGATATAAGTTTTCATAACACATTGCTTCTGAAAATTAATAATAGAGTTCTTACATTTCATAAACCACTTATGACATTTCAGAACAGCTGGTTATGAAATTTAAGAACTATTTGGATATGAAATTTAAGAGCAATAGTTCTACAAATAGGTCCAAAACCAAGTTATGAAATTTCAGAAGCATTTTTTTTAGAGTGTTGTTGACGTAAAACACATCTCAGCACTAACAAGACTTGAAATGTTGCTTCTTTGAAGTATAAAATGGAAACCTTACATTAGTACATATTTATTAAATAATTAAAAAATAAAAGCCATTACGAGCATTCAGGAGTGTGGTTGCCGTCCAGTTTAGAGTGAGCTTGCTAAGCCCTCTTCAAAACAGAGCGTGCCTGGAAGGCACGCTTTAATTTAGAGCGTGCCTGGTAAGCACACTCTAATTTGAAGCGTGCCTGCCAAGCACGCTCCAATCGAAAGCGTGCCTGCCTAGCACGCTCCAAATTAAAGCGTGCTTCTTGGCATGCTCCAAATAGAGCGTGCCAAGCACACATTTCAGTTTGCAGAGTACACGATACAGAGAGTGAACTGAGTGAGTACTCTGTTGAGCTTGCGGAGTGGTTAGGTTTGACCCTTACATGTCGTGTTTTTTATATCGGCCACCGCAAAAGGTCACGTTCAAGCCTTTTGTGACATTCCTGACAAACTTTTGGCACTTTGATGTGAATCTTTGGTGAGGGCGACTCAACTGGTTCAACAACTACAACTGTCAACGCTCACACTGTAAATATCTTACGGTGCTGCACCAACATATTATGGTGGAAATTCTCCATAATACCAACGAAATTCGTCAAAGTGTATAGAAGGTACAGTGAATTCTCAGTGATATGTTATGAAGTCACCTGCACCACCAGAATATGAAACATTTTCACCATAATATGGAGAATCTTCACTGTACAACATTTAGAGTGCACTATCGCACAGCATAAACAAGGAGAGTCTCTCTCGCGCTTCGCAAATAATAAAGATACTTCTCTGAGGCCGCGCCAAATGGATCGCCTCGCGGAGAGGCTGTAAACTCCAGAGCATATCCGGCCAGACCTGACGATGACATCTGGCGCGGACGGAATGTGTTGTTCTAGCGAGAGACAAGTCACGTCAGCCGCGTGGTGAGCATGCCCGCGACGACGCACGCTCGGTGCGGCTGGCTCACTCCGGACGTCGCTCCGTCTTTCTCGCACTCATGAAGCGTCCCTCCAAGGTGCG